TGCATAATATTCTATTTACTTAGACACCGTGGTTTTGTTGACCAAATCCCATTGTTACAAGTATATGATGCACCGATGGTTGGATCAAGCGCATAACCAGATGAACAAGTGAATTGAATCGAACCTGGAATATTTACTTTCAAGTTTGAAAATGCTGTAAGTAGAATAGTTACCTGTAACTGCATTAGTCGACGTGTAGGCAAGAGAAGAACTTGTTGGGTATCCATTTGCAATACTAGTTGTTGTTCCATCTATAGGACAAGATAAACCATTACTTGTTGATTTCGTTGTTGTTGTTGTCGTTGTGACGGGACTACCTCCATTAGTATTTACACATAATGGAAACGAAGTCCATAAACCATTTGATAGACATGTTACATTCAAGTTACCACCGGTATTGGTATATCCACTTGGACAAACAAATACCATGTATGAGTCAATGAGTACTGCGTCTGGATCTTGTTCAGCCATCATAATACGATATTGGCTAGTTGGTTGTGTATTACTGGGAGTTGAGAGGAAGGTTTTCAATACTGCGTATGAACATCGGCTGGTAGCTAAATAGAATTAGTAGATTAACTTTGATATCTTTCTATGTATAATATTCTATTTACTTAGACACCGTGGTTTTGTTGACCAAATTCCGTTATTACAAATATATGATGCACCAATAGTTGGATCAAGTGCATAACCAGATAAACAGGTGAATTGAATCGATCCTAGAATATTTACCTCGCTGGTTGAAAATGTTGTAAGTAGAATAATTACCTGTAACAGCATTAGTTGATGCATAGGTAAGAGAAGAACTTGTAGGATATCCATTTACGATACTGGTTGTACCCGTCTCTACAGGACAAGGTGAACCGTTACTTGTTGATTTCGTTGTTGTAGTAGTAACTGCTGTTGTTGTGACAGGACCAGCTCCATTATTATTTGCACACAGGGGAAACGAAGTCCATGAACCATTTGGCAGACATGTTACATTCAAATTACCACCGGTGTTAGTATATCCATTTGTACAAATAAAGATCATGTATGAGTCAATGAGTACTGCATCTGGGTCTTGTTGAGCCATCATTATGCGATATTGACTAGTAGGTTGAGTATTACTTGCAGTTGAGAGAAACTTTGTCAATGCCGAGTATGAACAGTGAGTAGTTACTATAGGAAATTAATGTTTGTTATAAGATACATGGGCTTTCATAGTCAGACGTGAGAGAAATTGAATTAGAAAATTTAATGTTAAGGTAACTTTCTATTAAAAAATATATGAGAATATTAATATTGTTTGTAGCTGAATTTGAAATGCTAGATTATAGTTTTCTATTATAGTGTAAGATTGGATATACTCTCGTAGGAAATGTATGTAGGATTAAAAGTGATTTAGTATACTGCTGTAGTAGTTCATAGCGTGATACCAGTTCAACAGTTTGATAACTTTTAAGCTACTGTCATTGTAATTAAAAGAAATTCGTTCTCTAGTGCATTTTACATAAAGTGAATACATGATGAGGTTTGTAAGGAAGAAGATTCTCTCATGATTGCTGTTCGAGGATGAGTAAAAACAAAAGGTGATTCTTTTTAGTTGACTTCTTTTTCGAATAGAAGTCACATTAATATCCTTTAATAATAAGCATGAAAGATACATATTTGAAAAGGACTATACAATAGGACAGGTATCTGGACTAGAACGTTAGAGATGTCCGATAAGAAACAGAACTAATCATCATATTAGAACAAACAATATTATAGAATAGTTCTGTAAAATGGACATAGCAAGTCTATTGCTGATTATATGTCGAATATCTACTCGAATGTACTCTGGTGTCTGAATCTATTTTCGGTTTTATAATTATTGTATCGTTGATCAAATAGGCTGAATTACAAATGAAAAAACAAATTCAGTAACTGCTAGATTTTCGAGAGAAAAACCGATACGTCAAACAATGGTTTGTTCAAACTTATTCAAGCTTTTGAAACATGATCTGATATGGTTGTACAAATTAACCACGCGTGTAATTATTCTAATTTTAACAACTTTCTTCTATTTTCTAAAACTATTTTAAACCCGAGACGTTAGCGCAATAATATTGATTGGAGTATCAGCGACACAGTAAAAATATCGAATAGTACAGACATACTTGAATGGCATTTGAAGATTAATAAAGTCGACCTTCCTTATCTATACATTTACTGTAACGGTATGATTAAAAGTGAACATATACATCTTCTGTCATCCGTATACGAATCTACTTGCAAAGTACATTAGGTGACCCGACAGGGAACTGATTTAATTTCATATTAATTGCAAAAGAATTTCAATCGAATTGATAAAAATCTGAAAAGTCTAGCCGAAGAAACCTAATTCACAATTTTATGTAACATACATAATAATAGCATACATTTACTCTTGCTTATCTAAAGCTCTCATAGTGACTATGGTAATTCTGTTTTTCAACTATATGAGAATATAGCAAGCGACAAATTTCTGAAACTGCAAAACTTCTAGTGTATCAGTAACCGAACATCACGTAAAATGATCTATAAATACAATATTTAAGACAGCTAGAACGTAACTTACTCAAACATCTCGGTTTCGTTGACCAAACACCATTATTACAAGTATATTGTGCACCAATAGTAGTATCAAGAGCATAGCCAGGATTACACGCAAATTGTACCGATCCTACAATATAAAATATGTGACTTGTAAAACTGTGCGAACATTATAATTACCAGCGGCAGTAGTAGGGGTTGGATGTGAAAGTGCATTAATTGTATAATATCCATTAGTAAGAGCGAACACTGTTGTAGGATCGTATGGGCAAGCTGCTCCACCACTACTTGGTGTGGTCGTAGTCGGTATAGCACTATTGCCTGTAGAAATCGTTGTAGTAGTCAAAGAACCACTTCCACCATTCATCACACAATTAGGAAACGGACTCCATGATCCAGTTGATAGACATGTTACATTCAAACTACCACCAGTATTCATATAACCAGCTGCACAAGTAACTACCATATATGAATCACTAAATATAGCAGTGGGCTCCAGTGTAGTAGCTCTCAATTGTCTTTGATCAGTGACTTGTACTGCAGGTGACAATGAAAGAAACTTGTTTAATGTGTCCATCGAACATCGAGCAGTGACTAAAAACAAAAATATTTATATTCATATATGTTTGTGACTATTTAGAAAATGTTAAGTTTACCTAAACATCTTGGTTTCGTTGACCAAACACCATTATTACAAGTATATGTTGCACCAATCGTAAGATCGAGAGCATAGCCAGGATTACACGCAAATTGTACCGATCCTACAATACAAAACATATGACTTGTAAAACTATAATAACACAATAACTACCAGTGGCACTAGTAATTGATTTAAATGAAAGTCCATTAATTGTATAATATCCATTAGTAAGAATGAAGATTGATAAAAGATCTACTGGACAAGCTGTTCCGCCACTACTTGGTGTGGTCGTTGTCGTTGTAGCAGCACTGTTGCCTGTAGAAATGGTTGTGGTAGTCGAAGAACCACTTCCACCATTTATTACACACGTCGGAAATGGACTCCATGATCCAGTTGACAGGCATGTTACATTCAAACTACCACCAGTATTCATGTAACCAGCTGCACAAGTTACTACAATGTATGAGTCAACAAATACAATAGTCTGATCTTGTGGAGATGCTCTCAGTTGTGTTTGATTAGTGGTTTGTATTATAGGTGATGAAAGAAACTTGTTTAGTGTATCCATCGAACATCGAGGAGTGACTTAAAACGAGAATATTCATATTTACATACATAGATATGTTAGTGGTTATTCGGAAAATGTTAGATTTACTTAGACAACGAGGTTTTGTTGACCAAACACCATTATTACAAGTGTATGATGCACCAACTATTGGATCAAGAGCATAGCCAGGATTGCATGTAAATTGAATCCATCCTATAATATAGAACATGTGAATTTTAAAACTATAATCATACTATAATTACCAGTAGCAGTACCGGGTGATGGATTTGAAAGTGAAGAAGTTAAATAATATCCATTGGTAATAGTGAAAGTTGCTGCATCTATCATGCACGCTAGACCATTCGCTACAGATGTAGTAGTGGTTATCACAGGACCGTTAGTGGTTGATGTCATGATTGTTGTTGCAGAACCGCCTGAATTATATGACTGTTGAGGTATTACGTCAGCTTAAAGGAAGGGTATAAAATCATGAAAAGACGATTTCTACAAACGACGTGATCAGAACGGTATTGAAATATAGTAATGAGAATAAAGAAAATATTTATTATATCTTGCAGATCCTTCAGCAAAAATTTCAATAATACGATCAGGATAATGGTTTGTCTTTCTAAGGGAAGTTGGTGAGCCGTGTGTTACTTGATATGTAGCTGTTAGAAGGGGAGTGGTCAAGCTACTACATGCAGATAATTGATCAACGAACATTAAAAAAGAGTCTAGCGCGTATAATATGGTATATAATATGAAGTTTACGAGTAGCCTTCCTGATTATCGAAAATCGAGACGGATTAGCCATTTTTATTTAGGATTTTAGAGTTGTATAGTACGTATTGCCATCAATGGGATACAGTCGTTTTTGAAAGCAAAAACATGTATGATTGTTCTTCTTTTCTATTAATTAAATAGAGTATATTGAATATAGAAGAAACTGAAATATTATTGTCCATAAATAGCAATTATAAACTAGATAGTTTTGTAAATATTGATATATCAATATTGAGAAAGTATTTTCTCTCTAAACATCATTTATTTCAAGTATATTTATGACATTTGAAACATTTAATTGGAAAACAACAGGTTAACTTATTCTTCCGATAAGTATATAATCAACTATTGATACTTTTATTCAATATGTTTTCCCTAAAATCTCATATCTGTCAAGATAATTCTGGAAATAAATCAAGACATAGTTAGAATACGTTATATTTTGAAACTCCTAAAATACTACTAATGTAAAATGAAAAATGACCATCGTTGCAGTTAATCTTCAACAATCATCCAAGAAAAGTTGACAAAAACTATAATGTTTATAGATAAATATTTGAATGAAGTGTTGGATATATTGCTATAGTTTGTTTTATATTCCACACAACGATTTACACAATAAGTTCGCACATATCTTTTTAGAATCTATTTATAATGTATATGAAACTTTAGCATACATATTAGTTGATAATCAAAATTGAGAAAACATTTAAAATAATCAAGTTAATTAATTACGTGTATTCTTTCTGATGCTGTGACATCAAATATAAAGTGCATAATATTAACAACTGAATTCACGCATAAGAAATCTGAAAGATTAGCATACAGGTGCTATTTTCTAGTGTATACTAAAATTATTCTCTCGCAAAAATGAATTAGAGACATACTATCCAACTATGATCCGTCATGATCATTTGAATAAGAGTCTTTATTCCAACCATAAATCAATAAATTAGTTATCAGGTTACTATATCAATTTAACTTTGATACAGAAACATATCTTTCATTCAGCTAATAAACCTGAAAACATTTCTACATACTTGCTTACATCAAAAACAAACCTTAATAAGCATCGCACAAAATCAAACCATTTCATCTATGTCACGTGGATAATTTCGGAGCAGATTATGTTCTTTTTCGTATTGACTTTTCTTAAAATCTTCAATACAAAACTAAAAATAAAAGAGGCCCTCTGAGATCTTTATCCCTTTATTTTCAATTCTTCCAATTGTACAAACAACATCCTTCTCAAATATTCAAGTACTATAAATAATAACCTCTTGACACAAACCTATTCTATCCTGAAGTATACCACCATTATCAATTCATGCCCCCAGTTGCACCGTGCAAAATAAAGAAATATTTATTTAGATAACCAATAAAAGATCGTCACTCATCATATCTCAAACAAAATCCTTAGGTATTTAAACACACCTCCACATTATCGCGTACGACTATGTTATTTCGTTGTAAAACAAATTTTGTATAAGATAGTGTCCTTTGGGAAACATATACATCAAGAGCTTCCCTCATTCCGATAAATATGCTACCATAATATGACAAAATCATGAAATGACATCAAATATAAAAATGTCCTCAAACGATCTCATCTTTTTGGCAAAAAAACAGTCCACGTTATAATTGAAAAAATCCTACTTAAAACACAATTCGGAAATGAACTCCACGATCCAGTTGATAGACATGTGACATTCAGACTACCACCAGTATTCAT